GCGGCAAAGGGAAGATGTGGGGGACCGTGGGGAAGAGGGGGGTCTTGGGCAGGGGAGAGTAGGTGGACATGGGGTGGAGTCGGGGGTCCTTGGGGAAGGAGGGAATAGCCAGGACCCGGCTCCCCTCATGCCGACGGCCGTGTTCCCCTTTCCCCCGTAGAGGGCGCTGCATCTCCGCGCCACCAAGACCTTCCGGGACCCGCAGGACACGGTGCGCCGGACGGGGGAGGAGTGGCTGGTGACGCTAGCGCAGAGCGAGGCCTACATCCCGGACGTCTACGAGGAGGTGGTGGGCATTGTGGACATCACCACACTGAGCAGCCGCCAGTACTGCGTGGTGTGCGACCCCGTGGGGCCCGACGGCAAGCCGCAGCTGGGCCAGGAGAAGGTGATCAAGGTATAGCGGCCATGTGTGTCCATGACAATCTGGTAGTAGTGTGAACTCCAGGCCCCGTGTCCTGTAGGAAATACGGTAGCACTTGTTGTACTGTGTGTATGGTCAGGTATGGCTCTGGTAACGCTGCATAGCTCCTGGGGCGCATTTATTCCACTAAATGTGGTAGTGCTGTGGGGCATGTGTATTCTACTAAGCATGGGTCACTTATATTCTAGTAAATATAGTACAACTGTATCCTGAGGAATCTTTCTGCTAGTGCATATTATGTTGGGGGGACGCTTGTGTCAGTAACTATGGTAATGATGGGTATCTCGTTGGGCGTATTTACACCATTATATATGGTAACTATATCTTGTAGGGGCATATTTAAGTGGGCTGTAGTCCACGAAAGCTTATGCTCTAATAAATTTGTTAGTCTCTAAGGTGCCACAAGTCCTCCTGTTCTTCTTTTTCCTAGTACATAGGGTAACCAAATATTATTGGTACAGGTTTATTCTAACATATATGGTAGTTTTGTTTCTCTGACATAACTACAGTACCCCTATGTATAGCTGTGGGGCACGTTTATGCTAGTAATTATGGTAATGATGTGCCTCTATGGGATGTCATAGTTACCCTTCTAATTACCGCCTTCTTGTAGCCTCCTGTATCCTAGTAAGTACGGTAACCGAATGGGACCCAGAATGGCTGCGTCTACCGTAATTAGTAGAAATAAAGCGACAACTGTGGCTAGACTGCGATGGTTAACCTAGGAGCCAGCTACCGTATATACCAGTATATAGCTGCAGTTATAGATGGTGGGGGCGGGGAGTGGCTGTTGCTAGGTCGCAGTTATAGATGGGGGGGGGTACCGTATTACCCAGGGTATAGGAGCAGATGGTTAATGTATTTCCACTTTGGAAGGGGGGTTACCGTAATTCCTAGACTATAGGCAAGAGCTTACTGTATTTTCTAGGCTATACGGCGAATAATAGAAGCAGCAGCTCCTCACCTTGGAGCCGGGTGGGTCTAACCGTATTTTGCAGACTACCTGGGCAGGTGTTGCCTTGTTTCTACGGCAATAAGTGGGAAAAGGAATAAAATATTCATTGAGGCATGGTCTTGCCGTATTTTCTAGTTTATATGCACAGTAACTGATATTACCATATTACCTAGACTACATGCCCATACATGCGCCCCATATTTCTTGGGTACTGTGGAAATTCTCACGGAGCCCCCATTCATTGCTCCAGGGGGAGAAGTCGTTCTTCCTCCAGCCAGGGGAGTCTCTGAAGGACGGGATCCAGGACATCTACATCCTCTCGGAGGACGAAGGGCTGCTGCTGCGGGCCCTGAGCAAGCTGGAGGACTTGGATGAGGTGGGGGAAGCTCAGGGCTGGGCTGCGGGTCGGGAGTGAGGGGCACCGGCAGAGTTGGGGGGGGGCAGGGGGCTGCGGGTCGGGAGTGAGGGGCACCGGCGAGAGGTTGGGGGGGGCAGGGGGCGTGCGGGTCGGGAGTGAGGGACACCTGCAGAGCTGGGGGGCGCAGGGGGTTGCGGGTCGGGAGACAGGGGCACCGGCAGAGTTGAGGGAGGGGCAGGGCTTGGCTAGGAGGGGGCTGCGGGTCGGGAGTGAGGGGCACCGGGAGAGCTGGGGGGGCAGGGCACTGCGGGATGGGAGTGAGGGGCACTGGGATCTCTGGCACCCGCAGGACGGTGGTGAGCTGCACCGGAAGCCGGGCGATCGCTGGCTCATCCGGGGGCCCCTGGAGTACGTGCCGCCGGCAGAGGTGGAGGTCCTGGAGCGGCGCCGCGCCACCCCCCTGGGCGAGAACGAGGGGATCTACGTGCGGGACATCAAGACAGGCAAGGTGAGCAGGGCCCCAATCTCTGCCTCCCACGCCCTCCGGCCTACCCGTGTCCCAGATCCCTGCCCCCCACTGCCCTCCGGCCTTCCCCACTGACCCCCCAGTACCCCATATCCATGCCCCCAATGGGCTCCTGAGCCCCCCCATTGACTCCCCCCTCTCCCCAGGTGCGGGCGGTGATCGGTCACACCTACATGCTGACGGAGGACGAGGAGCTGTGGGATAAGGAGCTGCCCCCCACCGTGGAGGCCCTGCTGTCCTCGGGCCAGGACCCTGTGGCCGACCGCTCCAGGGCCCCCCCCCAAGAATGCGAGGACCGGCCCCGCGACACAAGACGGGTGGTGAGTTACCAGGTGCCCCACAACGCCGCCGTGCAGGTGTACGACTACCAGGAGCGGAAGTCCAGGTGAGTGGGGGACTCGGGGCA